CAGCTCGGTCGCCTGGATAAGTGAACTGACTTTCTGGGTGGTTCTTCAAAACTATTCACACACTCTGAAGTACCTCAACATGAACTCAGTATTACAGTAGCAACAGCCAGTTTGCAGTGACTTCTTTTAACTTGGAAGAGAACGTGATGTGAAGTAAACTTTTGCGAAGCCACCTCGTTCCCTCAGTGCTTGTGTGATTCTGTGAGCCTCGGGCATTAAGCCTGAAGCATATCCCCTCCAGTTATGTTACCCACCTGTGCTTTAAATGATAAAACTGTTCAATAGCTACCCGGTTGGTAGTTGCTGTATGATGTAACTACAGGTATATCAATTACTATGTAATACTCTGTTTCCAGTAATGCAAACGCTTGTAATTACTTGAATAAGTTTTATTTGAACTATGGTTACATTTTTTACACTTAAGGAATATTTAAATGGGAACCTGATCGCATTTTCTCCTAAATCTAAGCTTAAGTCTTGGCCCGTGTACAAAATCCAAAGCGGTCTTACCCCTACAGACTTGGTTATTTTTCTACATTCTGAATGTAACTCTTGTTACATACTTCGGCATTCTTGAATATTTTCTATCCTTTTATAGTCCGTTTCCTTTCCATCTCAGCGCTGCTCTTGGGTCTGATTTTTAACAAATGTAATCTACGTTTATATACTATCCTAAACTATAGCATGGGCAGATGAAATGGCAGTAAATTGTCTTAAGTTTTCTTTGAAGCACTACAGTACTTTCTTTTTGAGTCTGTTTAAACAGTTGTGCCATGAAATGCATCTTATACAGCCACTCTGGATAAGCAATATATTGTACTGTAAATACAGCAATTGATGTCATAACCTGGAGTTAAAATGTCTGGATGGTAACTAGTGCCTGTCTAATATAAATAGGAAAAGAGCATAGGCCTTCATCCTAAGGTGCTGTTTCAAAAGAAATATTTCCTATTTTGATTCTGGGAAATGGTGAAATACCGTGGACAAAATGTTGCTATGCTACATTGAGATCCAAACAGTGATTTTTGGTTGCTCTGTAAAGGATGTCCATAAAACTCATTGTTTTTGGTTTTTGGTGTAATTGTAAATACGGGAAACTGTATGTGTCTTTGTGTCTCAAACTGAATTCAATGTGGTGTGACAGTAGGGGCTGAGAGAGGGGGAGAGGATATGCAGCACGATGCCACTAGCTTTCCCTGACTGAAGCCCACTGCATGTTAGTGGACTGCGTGAATTGCAGCCTGGCTGAGGTATGGGAAAGGAATGAAAAATTAATGGGAAGGGCGTCAGCCCCACAAGTGAACGACCAAGAAATGCAATAAAAGGCTAGCAGACAGCACTAGTGCTCTGCTCATCACTTGGATTGTTAACGGATTTTTGTGTTATAAATTTGAGTACATGCATTTATGTAATTTGGAAAATTACGCTGTAGTGGAGACCTTGCTACAACACTATTAAAAAAAAAGAAATCTTCCCTTTGTGTGAGATAGGAGGTTTGTAGAATAGTGAGATTCTTTCGTTTGTTGACTCTTAATCTGTTCCTAATGGTGGGAGTGCTGAAGTAATGTATCTCACTGTGATCTGGTACTTCGGTATTTGCATAAAATGGCAGTTCTGTATATTCTTTTGGCTAACTGTAAATATAAATGTTTCATATTAGCGTAGTTGAATTTTTGAGGTACAGCCATTTGTGTGACATTAGAAAAAAACAACTATTTCTAAGAACTTGTAAAAAAAAAAAGTATTTTCAATAAAATTCCCTACCTCACCACTATTGTGCAGAAATGATCCCATTTTCCTATGTTTAATTTTCCAACCTCATTTGTAAACACAAAGAAGATCCCTTTTCAGTTATTGGCCAAACAGTGCTGTTTTTCATCAAATCAATCAAATAGCAGAATGCTTGAAAGTCTGAAGTCCAATTTGTTTCCTTTGCTTCCTTTACATGATGGTGATCGTGTATTTGATAACCTGAAAAGCAAATTCTAGAAATTTTAGGCCTCTTAAGCTGCTCCCTCACTCTATGCTGGGGTGGAAGGCCTGTACCCTGTAATTTTATGGCAGAGTGGCTGGCCATGTTTGAGGGGTTTTTTGTTTGTTTTGTTTTTGTTTCAGCAGTGAGGAGTGGGGGAAAGGGGTGAGGGTGGGTGACAAGAGCATACCAAGGATCTTTGCAAGGCCTTAGGGGGGAAGGTTCCCAAGCCTTGTTTTGCAGTGAAGGGGATTGAGCAAACACTGTGTTTGCTTTCTTTAATTGGGAGGTAAATGCACATTCCCATCATCGGTTCTACAACTAAATGTCTTAAAAAGACTTGGAAGTTAGGCCAAACTGAACTAGCTAATTAATCCCTCCTTTCTCTGAAGTGCTTAACTCCTTACACCTTTAAAAAACATATATAACTAATGCCAAGAGTGATGTCTCACATTGCTTCTGGAAATGACTCTCTGGCTTCTACTGAGGTGGATGTAGCAAGCCCAAAGTCTCAGTATTTGGGTTTGATTCCTCTAGATTCCTGCACTTCCAATGACACCATTTTTCTTGCCATAGTTCAGAGATTGTGTTCTTTGACAACACCTGTAAAATTCACTTTCTGAAGTGAATGTGTGGGTCCCTGTGGGAAGCGGGGGAGAAGAGGAACTGCTGTGCATCCTGGAAGCCCTTCCTCAGGAGAACTCTTGTTCTTTCTTGGGTGTAAGAACCAGAGTTTTGATAACAGGGTTATAGAAAGTGGTGCCAGTTCCTGCTGGGTTCTGAAAAAGCACTAATTTGGAACCCAAATAATCTCAAAAGACTCCGGCTTTTCTGGGCTCAATATCTGCTTCCTTGAGAAGAAAGGCTGATGCATGTATTTTGAGATGCAAATTTTTACATCATATTGCTATTTATAGTTACAAGACCAGTGTAAAACAGCTGGGCTGGCACGCCTAAGAACCCTGCCTTTGCCCGAGATCTGAGTGATAGCTCAGAGCTTTATATATTACTGCATAGAAAAAATCCTAGATATCCCCTACAATGATACCAGGGCACCGTATTTTCTGGTTCTCAAATTTAATCTCCAAGTCTTGAGGAAATTTGGTGGTCATACCTACTGCTTGGCAGCCTGCAAACATTGTAACAGGTTCTTGACTGTTTTTAGAAATGAAGACTGTACTGTTAAAGCAGCAAGGTTTGCCCTGCTCAAATAATTAATTAAGCAAGTGTGACCCACCTCACTGAGTCGCTTTTCATTGCAAATAAGTTTCTTTCAAGGTTTTTAAGGTTTCTCACCTTTTCCCCCTATTAAATTAGATACCTCATTACAGGTGTCTGAATTACCTGGGTTTTTATATGAACATCTATAATCTCATTAAGTAAGAAATATGCAAAGTTAGACTTGTTTATAGAGCGTTCTACTTGACTGGATTCAGCTGAGCAACCCAAGGCACCCTAAACCAACGTACTTCTTGGTTTAGCTGTGCCGAGCCCAGGCCCGGGATGCAGTCCCATCTCCCCTGTTCTCCAGCACGATTAAGCTGAAATACCTTTGCTGCAAGCGCTGGCCTTAAACAACCGCCACGTTCTCTAAGCCTGCTTAAACAAAAGCAAAAACGTGCTTTTGCATTTTGATGAAAAACTCGGGTTTTACAATCCTTTACATTGGAGACTAATTTTAGTGTAATTAGCTGAACTAAACATTACATTTAAATTGCAAATAACTGATAACCCTAATATTGGAGAACTCAGACTTTAACAAAAGATGTTAGTTTTGCTTGTGAGATACATGCATAAGGACAGGGGTTTGTAATTCTGATGTTTTTTAATTAACAATAAATCCTAGAGCATTTCCATTCTTTCTCTGCTTATGAACATCATCTCGGTTTCATTTCATGCTAAATAAAAGCTCATATTTACTTTTCAGCTTTGATGGAAACACTACCTTAATCTGAGAAGAATTAATATACCCCATGAATTATGTACATACCACCTGAGTTCGTATGCCAGGGCTCCTACCTTTATTCTGCAAGGTATTTGAACAGAAAGTTGCTATGGATTTTTGGCATGAGCACCAACCGGTATTCCTCAAAATGGGACTGTTAACTGTTTGAACTTTGAAGATTACTGTGATGATAGGTTTTCTCTTATACTGGCATAATGTTCTGTCATTGTTATGTGACATTATACCTACAGAAACTATTAATAAAGAATTTTGCTAGAAGTACTGATTTCTCTTTGCTTTTATAAAGTTTACACCAACTCTCTGAAGTCAGGCTACTGGGATAAAATAAAGTTTGAAAGCTATTTAAGTAACTAAAATGTTTACCGCTCTAGGGAAAGTTGATTTATATAACACTTAGAACTTCCTTCATTCCCTTTTGTAAAACACTAATTTTCATGTTACTGCTGGCACTGAAGTCAGGGTCTTAAATTCTTGAGAGCTCAGCCTTTAACAGTTGTACGGCTGAGTTTTGCTGCATCTCTTCCGGCAGCCTGGGTGCTCAGAAAGGCATAAGTTTTACTGCATTTTGATGTGGTAAAACCAATTTTTGGTTTCTACAGTGTCTCATGCCCCAGAAATTTTAGATTTGAAAAATTCTCAGGAATAAGCTTTATCAGAAAGAGGACAATCTAAATACTAATACCTGATTTTTTTTTGTTTTATTAATATGTAATAATGTTCTTCAAATTTTATTTAATTTCGTGCAGTTAGTAGTAGCTAGTTATACTAACTGTAAAAATTATTTCTGTAGTGCAGATGGAGACTGTTACATGTCATCTAATTACATAGTGCTCACTCAACTGTTTCTCGAAACAGTTCAAGTTTCAAAATCAAATTTGCTGTTCTATTTCACATTAAGGATGTTGAAAAATAGCAGCAGACTGCCTAGTGATTCAAACAGCATTTTACAGACAAGAGACAGGTAATGCTCCTGTGCTTTTGCTGCTCTGTGTCAGCAAACAGAAGGGTGAGAATTACAACACATCACTCTGAACACAGAAAACGTGCCACTCCGTGGCGAAA